GAGCTCTTGCAATGAGGTGATATTATAGAAATTTAAATCTCTATCTGTTTCCTAAATTGAGATATGGAACACCGCGTCACTGTTGCAGGACCCGGTATACAGGGTGTTTCAATAAAAAAATAGTTTCACATCAATAACTATTGATATATCAAAAAGTATTTTGAACTACTGTGAAGAAGTGCTTTGGGAATGCACATTTTTGAAAAACTGTAACTGAGGAACGATGATAGATATCGACATGCGGTTTTCACCATTGAGTTTGACATAAAATTTGACCTCCAGACAGAGCCATCAGTTTTCATATATCTAGTTTGAAAACAAGAGTTCTCCTTTATAAGTGTTCAATTTGGCTCACTCTGTACGTGGACTGTATTTTCGGTGACAATAACTTGTATATTGTCCTTTTGTGTGATTTTGGTGAATAAAGCGAGCAGATATTCTGAATTGAACCGAATTTTGCTTACCCTGCAAATTTTAGTGACTTTTTTCAAATAATGTAGGTTTCCAAAACACCCAAATCATGCTTCAGTTGGACGGTTTGTCGAGCATTCGCACGACTCATTTCTTCTCTCGCAGGTAGGGCAACACAACTCACAACTAGAAGCAAGCACAGTAAAATCACTGTCTGAAATACGCGTTAACAAATGCTCTATTGTTTGCGACTTTTTTTCAGAACTTTGAAGGCCGTAACTTTGTAAATAAGGGAGAGCGCCGCTTTTTTCTTTCGGATTCGTAATCTACGCATATAGTGTGATCAATATGATAGATTCAATTTTACCACCCTCCTTTCCATCGGATAACAATTTGAGCGAGGCTGAACAACTATGGATCTCACGAACTAATCCAGAAGAACTAGAAAAAATCTTCAACGAACCTGGGATAGTCCTCTTGCAAGAAATGCCTTAAATAATTTGTTAGACTTGGCTAAATCTCCTCTAGATAAGGCATATATAAAAGCAGTGTCGTCAAAACATGCAGGTGCTTGGTTGAATGCCTTACCAGTTTCATCCCTTGGTACATTATCAGACAATGAATCTTTTAGAGTTGCTGTAGGTCTTCGACTAGGTTCCAATATTTCTGTTCAACACAAATGCAAGTGTGGAGTGGAAGTAGACTCCCGAGGATATCATGGATTGAGTTGTAGATGTAGCGCAGGGCACTTTTCTCGTCATCAAGCTGTAAATGATGTCATCAAACGTGCGTTAGGTTTGGCAAATATACCTTCCATTTCAAAACCCCCAGGCACTTGCAGCGATGATGGGAAACGACCAGATGGCATGACTCTCATTCCTTGGCGGAAAGGAAAATCGGTTGTCTGGGATTTCACATGCGTCGATACTTTGGCTCCTTGTCACGTTCCTTCGACTTCTGTATCCAGCGGTGCAGCAGCTTCATCATCGGAATTGTCAAAAACACGGGAATACAAGTATTTGGGAGATAATTTAATTTTTCATGCAATAGGAATCGAAACATTTGGTACCTTAGGCCCCCAAGCATTGGAATTCATTCGTGAAATCGGCATTAGGATATCCAAAAAAACGAATGACCCAAGAGCTACCTCTTTCTTGATTCAAAGAATTAGCATTCTGATTCAAAGAGGAAATGCAGCTTCACGTTTAGGTACAATTCCTCAATCAAAAACTCTAAGTGAATTATCAATGTTTCCCATGAACAAAATATATCGGCATGTACAGACAGTGCAAGAACTGGAGTTGTGCAGTTTGGTGGAAGACTCGCAGCAAAACCGTCAAGCTTTGACAGAAAAGAAAGTGGGAACTCTAAATGAGGCTGAGTTTGGTCCTCTGGCTGAGCCCTCAAAAGAATGAATATCTAATTCAGTTTTGTGCAGTTTTGCTTCGAATTCCTTATCCTACCAGTCCAATGAAGGGGTGAATCATCCTATCCGTGTTTACTCAGAAGAAGATAGTAGTGGCAAACGTAGTTGCAACAATAGATCGGTGATACATTCTTCAATCAAAACTCTTGGGTTCAATGGTTTAAAAAATCTTGGAAACACCTGTTTCATGAACAGTATAATCCAATGTTTATCAAACACGGGATGGTTGCTGGAATACCTAAAAAAGGATGCATACATGGAAGATATCAATACTAGTATTTCTAGTATGAAAGGTGTTTTAATCAAATCGTTCGCAGAAGTTATCAAGGAATTATGGTCAGAAGATTCATCTGACAGAGTGATTAACACAGTCTACTTCAAAAATCAGATTTAAAGATTTGCCCCTCGATACATGGGTTCTGCCCATCAAGACGCCCACGAATTCCTTCGATATCTTTTAGAAGGTTTAGAAGGATAACGGAAAAGCACAAGAGTCCTGGCAGAGATATTTGAATATGAACAACTCCAAGATTGTAGACTATTTCGTTGGTCAATTAAAATCCACTAAAATCCACTATGAAGTGCACACACTGTGGACACTCATCAGTAACCTTTGATCCTTTCTGGGATTTGTCCCTCCCCATACCACAAAGATCTGGCCAAGTGAGTTTGTCACATTGCTTGGATTCTTTCACAAGAGAGGATGGAGATGAAAAACCAATGTGTTCGAAGTGCAAGCAAAGGAGAAAATGTACAAAGTATTTATCGATCTATAAGTTTCCCCGTATTTTAGTAATTCATTTGAAAAGATTCTTTTCGACGGAAAGGTTCAGAGGCAAATTGAATGTTTCCATTGACTTTTCTTCAGATGGATTAGATATGAGCAGTTATGCAGCAGACAATGTGGCTCCTTGTCGTTATAATCTATATGCACTTTCAAAAATCACAGTGGGACTACTCACAACGGACATTACACAGCATATTGCAGACACCCATATAGTGGCACGTGGCATGAATATGACGATTCACACGTGTTCCCAATTTCGCCAAAATCACTTGTGAGCAATGAGGCATATGTCCTCTTTTATGAACAGGAGGGAACGAAGCAGCACCTTTGATGTGATTTTTCTTTCTTCTTTCCTTTTTTTTTATAATCTTAGTTCTTTGAATTGATTTGTATTTCATGATTGTTCCAAATTTCATTATTAAGTGAATAAAACTCAGATAAATCTACGCAACAAAATACGTAAGTACACGCAAAAATTTGATAAAAAGTGTGCTCGAAACGAAAATTTACCCGACTTTTTAATAAATATGACTATTGATTCTAGTTAAAACACTTTTTCTGAAATTTTTTCCAAACCAGACCAAAAATGCTGTCTCTATGGTGTTTGAAAAGTGTTTTTGATAAATTTATTTCACGGCAAATTGCAATTATCAATATATGTATTCAATAAATAGTAGTGAATTTTTTTCAGAACAAGGAAAACAAGTGAATGGAGAAATATATAAGAAGCATTCAGTTTCGGAATCAGTTCATTCTAAAATTAAATATTCTGAAAGTGAGGAGGAGAGGTGAGTAAAGTTTTTTCATCTAAAAAGTAAAACATGAGATTACGATAATTCACAGAATAAGAAACACACGATTTTTATATTGATCATTTTTTTATTGAAAATCCCTTCTCTTGGAAATTTCGATTCATCATTCCAAACAATTCTGTTGTATATGTATCAACAACATTTCATAAAATTCAAATACAAGTAGTTGTTGAGGGTCCTGAGGCGATTTTTTGAACCGATAAAAATTTTATTGGTTCTTATCGATGACTCAAAAAATGCGTGAAAATATGCTAAGTCATAATTCTGGTTGTTTTCGTAAGTTACAAATCGTGGCAAGTTTCTTGATCCTTCTGAAGTTGATCCACATGCTCTGCAGTTTATACAGGCCAAACCGGTAGAAATGTTGACGTAAGACTGTGTGAACACGTCTGTTTGGACAAAAAATCTGCAATGTACGGACATCTTCAAGAATCAAACCACAAGATAAATGAAGATAAGCTCAAAATCCTACACATTTGTGATGAAGGGAAAAAATTGATTTGTTAGAGGCCATGGAAATTAACAAGCCAATTGAAAACCATAAATATATACCCCTAAACGAGCAACTTGATTTATGTAGGTCTCCTCTCTTGAATTTATGAGTTTAACAACCCCTAGAATTTTCATTGTGGAATTTTAAAGTTGGCATCCTGGTTCGCCCAACTACCTGTCTCACAAATACCTGTCCTTGCAGCATACCTGAAAATTCTAATATGAACGATATTTCAAACTTCAGATTTCAGTTTTATACTTGATACTGGGGTCAAACCCGAAACTGGTCGTATAAATAAAATCTACCAGTGGTATTTAGACAAAAGTGGTTTTTATTCGTATAACATTCTTGAGGTTCTCACAAATAAATGGTCATAAGTCCTAAACCTGACCAGTCAGGTATAATAATAATAATAAATTCATTTATCCTTAAAAATTCATTCACATGATATAGGATATGTCATAAAATACAACACAGGAAACAGTGAAAACAATAAAAAAGTAAAATCTACGTGTTACATTATTCGTATTATTTATTGTTAGGGCAATAATCTCTAACATTGTAAAAACATGACTCTACTAAGTGTGATTTCAATTTGGGCTTAAATTTCATGAAATTTTGTTCACCCTTAATGCTGATAGGAAGACAATAATAAAATTCAATGCCAGTAAAATTTGGAGATTTCTCGTACAATGAGCTGGTATGTTTTGGGATCCTGAGTAGGTTACCGTTTCTAGTAGGGTACTGGTCATGTCTAAATTCAGTTTGCAATTATAAAATTTAATGCCAGTAAAATTTGGAGATTTCTCGTACAACGAGCTGGTATGTTTTGGGATCCTGAGTAGGTTACCGTTTCTAGTAGGGTAATGGTGCATGTCTGAATTCAATTTGAATTTGTCAATATTTTGTT